GAAGTGGAACTAAATGATGTTGAAATGGCCATCAAAGCCTACCTGTCTGATGGAGTTCCACTGACTCCTCAAATCCTGGACATGGTTGTTGCCTCGTTTTGGAAACAAGAGCCATATATGTACGTACACCTTTAAAAAGTCTATTAGATCTTTAACATTTTAATTGATTACAATGGAGTTTAGCATGTTTTGTCTGCAATTTATGTGCTCACCTGAGCTGACCTTTGGATCTTCTAGGTCTACTGGTTTTATTTTGGAAGGTTTCCCACATCTCCCCAACGAGGTGCAGTACATGTTGCAGCAACAACTTTACCCTGACATTGCGGTCATCATGTCAGTAGACGTCACTGAAGTACAGAAACGCCTGCTGCCAGCATACCTGGAGAAGTGGCGTGAGCGCCGCAAACACCGGAAAGAACAACTGAGCCTGCTTCAAGAGCTGCGCAGAGAGAAACGAGTGAGTGACTAATGTGACAAATTAGATTTTACCACATTAAGTTGAATTTAAATTCTTTTGCATTTTTTTGTTTTTCAGGAGAAAAACATTGCTATAAGAAGGGCTGAGCTGATAGCAGAGAAAGGTGATGCTTCAACAAAAGTATGTAATGCCATCATAACCAGAGTGATCTTCTTTACCTTTTAACCAATCCTTGTACTCACTGACATGTTACATGATACTGCAGTTAAGGCACAGTGATAATGAAGATGACCATGAAGAAGAAGCGGTTGTAGAGAACATAGAAGAGGAGATAGAGGCCATGCTGGAGGAGGAGTTTGCCTTAAAGGAAGAAGATGAAGAAACAGAGAATGAGGAGACAGAGGAGGCAGCAACTGAGAGGCTGGAAATGGAGATAGAAGAGCGTTTTGTCTCAGATGAAAATAATCTCACCACCGTAACGGTAAACAAATACCTGCAAACTTTGTTTTGCCACAATTTTCTTATAATTGAACTAAAATAGCACCTTCTGTTTTTATAATTACAGGAGCTTCTAAATGAATTAAACTTGTCCAGTGTCTCCATCAATGCATCACGAAAACCTAAATCTGTGCAGCATCAGTTGCTCAGGAATCTGCAGCATCTGCTGACAGACAGGGAGTCACTCTTCCAAATGTGTCAACCCATTTCAGTCAGCCTGGCAGAGAAGCTGCTCCTTTCCTCTTACAAGCATTACAGTGCCCTTGGCTGCTGGGACCCTATCAAAGTGAGTATCATCTAATATTACTTAGTATTATTATACGTTCTGTATCATATAACAGGGATATCATATAACATGTCAATGTCATATAAAATATGAGTAAAAAGTAAAAGTATTGGAAATTACTTTAAAAATGAACTTCATAGAATTGGTGTATTTTAGAAATGGTTATGCATCTCCACATCTTCTCTCCTGTGGTTGAAGCCCCAAGAAATGCATTTGGGCTTTGAGATGCTCACAGCTCAAGGTGCTTCACATTTCTTACAGAAATACAAGGAGAGAAGCCTGATCCAGCCTCTGCTGTGGCCTCCCAACAACACATATCCACTGATCTTCAACCAGTATATCTACTTCTTTGCATCTAAAGAGAATCGCAAAACATTTATGCTGAACCCTCTGAAGTATCTGAGGCAGCCTAAGCCAATGCAGCCCCTTCCCTTGAAGTTAGCAGTTATTGGACCGCCAAAATCTGGAAAAACTACTGGTGAAATTCACAAAAAACATACTGTACATCACAATTGTCTAGAGCAGTGTTTTTTGTTTATTCTCTCATTTTGTTGTGTTGTTTTCCTCTCTGCAGTTGCACAGATGTTTGCTCAGCAATATGGTTTACAAAAACTGTCTGTTGACAGTGTTACACACACAGTGCTTGAGACTCAGGGCCACACTGATCTGGCTGCTCAGGTAAAAAAGCATGTCTCACAGGGCCATGTTGTGCCAGATCAACTGACAATTCAGTGCCTGGAGGTGGCACTGCTGAGTTCAGTCTGCAGCACACAAGGGTAAAGTAAAAACTCAGAGCTTATAGAGTTCCATAGCTTTGATAAATTATTACTATTACATTAAATCATCAAAATGAGGATTATATTCTCTTATTTAGGAGGTTATGTTTCTATCGTCGTCCTGACAGGTACGTGTTGGATGGTTTTCCAGTGACACTTGTGCAGGCGCAGCTCATGGGTTCTCGGAGCATCATTCCCATGATAGTAATTGAGCTAGACCTGGATACAGTAGAAGTGCTGAGGAGAGGTCATATGGACAAAATAAAACTTAACAAGTGAGAGAGAAATCAGACACATTTTTGGAAAAAAAACCTTAAGTTGTTTCTTTATATACATACAAAATCTTTAAGGTCTATGTTTACTCTAACCTTAAGTTGTTTCTTTATATACATATGTTTACTCCGTCTAATCCTGTTATAGATCTGAGGTGATGGATGAAAACACTGACATCTTACATGTGCGTACCTCAGCTTACAAGAAGGAGGTGGATCAGGTGAAAAAACACTTTCAGCAACAAAATCAGAACTGGAAAGTACTTGATGGTTCAAAGAGTAAATGGTGCATCTGGAACAGCGTTTTAAAGGAAGTCAGTGTGAGCATGACATACATAAACACCTATCTGGAGAAAGTATACAATGGTGAGGGCTGGGTTCAAATAACATTAAAATGGAAAATCAAGATAACTTAGTCTTGCAACATGTAAGTTTTTAATTATTCATTTTGATATTGTAGGACAAGCAGCCTGCATCAACAGGCTGTGCATCACACCACAGGAGCTGCACAGTCGACTGGGGGAGTTTGGCCAGTATTGTCCTGTCTGTTTGGCTCTACACCGGCACCTGCTGGACGGCTCAGAAACTGAAGCTTTGACCCATACAGCCCAGTACGTTGGGCAGTATTACAAGATGTGTGGACAAGAGCATTTAAATGTAGGTGCAGTGATTACTTGAAGTACTATACACAGATATTACATTTTCAGCAGTAGAATGTGCAGCTGTTCACATATTCCAGAGCATCAGAACACTCATGTATTTACTTTGTTTGAATAATCACAGTAATCCATTGCTGTCTCAAATACAGGCGTTCCTGTCAACTCCAGATCAGTTCGTGCCTCCTAACTGCCCCCACTCTCTTCCTCCAGCAAACCTTCTGCCAAGAAAGTTAACTGAGATCCAGGTGAAGGACAAGTTCCCACAACATGTGGAATTGAAGGGCTTTTGCCCTGTCACCTACCAGAATGGGAAGCAAAGGTTGGATACACACACCCTTGTGAAAATCACACCCCCAATTATAAGAATAATATTGAGAAGACTCAAAAAACTCTTATGGAAATGTTTTTTTTTTGCTTCTTAGGTATGAAGCTCTAGTTCAAGGAAAGATTGACTATGCTGTTGAATACAAAGAAAGGATCTACATCTTCCACACCAAACAGAAGCAGGACATGTTTTTGAGGTTGGACAGAAATCGGTTTTGTACTAATATATCAGTCACAGATAAGAGTCAGGACAGCGTTGCCTAATTCAATTTGTTTAAGGTCGTTTTGTTTCGGTCAAAACATGCAGTCTTTCTTTCAAGGTCTCCAGAAACCTACTGCAACCAGAGCCTCCCCACTAAAGTCCCTCCGCTGTGTGAGCCCACAACTCTGACATCTCTGCCCACCCTGGGATACCTGGAACAAGTCGGAGACTGTCAATAATAATAATAATAATAACAAATATTTACAGATGTTTTTGATCACACAGTCTAACATTGTACTGTTTTGAAAAAAAATACTATGATGTACTCTTTAGGGTGTAGCTGTAGCTGTCATCAAGGCCATGACTGCTGTGGGATGTCTCAAACCAAAGTTTCCCTTCCTCAGTATCAAACAGTCAGCACTCACCTATGTGGCTTTGTATCTAAAAGGTAAAGGAACTCCTAGTATTAAAATAACTCTTTTATTTCCCTTGTCTGATTATTGATTATTCTCATTCATGTTTAGTTTAATGTTCAGATATTTGAACTTATTAATTTAAAAAAATATGATTTTTTTCACAGCTTTTAACCAGAAAAGTCCAGACTACACTCGAGAGATGTACAAAAAGAAGCTGGCTCTGTTTGAAGAGAACTGTGCCCTCATTCCCTACCTGACTGCAACTATGAGGCACAACTACAAGCCTCCCAGTGAACGCCCCATTGACTTTGAATTCAAACTTCACAGGTTTCTGGCTTTGGACGACCAGCAAAAAGCAAGCTTGGCTCTATAAATTCAGTGGTTATGGATACATGACAATTACTCTTTGTAGCCATATCAATGTTGTGAGACTGAAAAATATTAAAAAACAAATCAAAATGGATAAATGAACACAAAAACATCTTTTAAAGAATCTGTTTTTCTTTATAATGTGTATTTATATATGACACAAATGGAGTTTGCGCACTCTTGCATTTTTCAGTTTATTAAACAAATAGAAAAAGGTGTCAGTGGAAAATGTCTAAAATGCTTTTTGTTTGCAACAGACTACTGCACAACAAAATAAGAATTGCCACATAATTGATAAATATTAAGACTTTCTTTTGTCATTCTTTTTTTAAACTTGTCACACAAGTTTCTGGTATGTTGCACATGTTAATTTAGTTTGGCTAATTTTGTTTACAAAGGAGGAGAGCGCATGACAGTCGAGAAGACTAACCAATCCAGCGAACGAAGACAACGAGTGCCAGCCAATCAGAGGCAGAGTAAGGCGGGTCCTTTATGCCTTTCCAAATCAGCTGTTGTTGACGGGTGCTGCTAAAGGACAAAAATCGCAAACCTCGAATGAGCCTGTTGCGGTTATTACACTTTCTAAACAATCCTTAACATAACGTAGATGTGGGAATTTACAGATAAACACTCCAAAGGTTGTTTAGAATTTGCAGACTCTAACTGCGGAAGACTGGACTGAGATACTAGACTGGAAAGAAAAGCAAAAACAAGAAGCTTTTACTGTCTACTACCGTTTATTCTCGCGAGATATACGCTGAAGCGTCAGGCGCGGGTTCGCGGAACAGTTCGGTCCACTTGTGTCCTATAGAGCACCGCTGTGCGTCAACGAAGAAACTCCATTAAACCAGGTGGGCACATACTGACAAACTATGACAAGAGCAGTCTTTTGCTTTCTGCTCTTTGTAATGATCCAAACTACTTGAACACTACTTTCCTCTCGTATGCATGTGTAGCGTGTGATGTTAGTTAGCAAGATGTGCTATTTACAATTAATTCGGTTCAGTTGGGATCACTATTCGAAACGTTTCTAGAGCCGCGAGATTTGAAAACGTCTTAGCAAGAGAAATGTTTTTCCATCCCGATATTTGTGAAACACATTGTGATTCGCATTTGAATTGGCTTAAGATAACTTTCGATTTCCTGTGATGTCGACAGGATGTCTAAAAGAAAGAGTGGTTCACTCAGTGAACGTCACAACAAACGAGTTAGACCTGCGGAGGATGAGGATGAGGAAGAGGATGATGGAGGAATTAGTGATGATCAGAACGACCCTCTTCTCAGCCAGGTATGGACATGCATATTCAAACAATCATTTAAAGCATTTGTTTTGAGCAGGTACCACATGTTGAAGTTATTGTTGTGGGGGAAACTGGACCACTTACTCAGCCATACCAACTATACAGCTCGTTAGATTATTTAATATAGAAATTATATGTTTGTTGCTTGTAAATTGTGCGCAGATTTTATTATGTATCAGGCGACTTGACAGGAATAAATATTGTCTGTAGGTCCAGCGTGCTGGTGACATTGAGAGCGATGCAGGGATCGTGGAGAGCATCACCCTGAAGAACTTCATGTGCCACTCACTACTGGGACCATTTGCCTTTGGTTCCAATGTTAACTTTGTTGTTGGCAACAATGGAAGTGAGTGAAAACACAGAAGCTTTGCAACAAAAAATGGTTTTTCCCTTTTTACAAATGAATGCTTTTTAGCAATTCCAATCTCAGTTTTTTCTTATTGTATTTCTGATTGTTTTGTGATTTTGCTCTACCTGATGCTACAGGTGGGAAGAGTGCTGTCTTGACTGCTCTCATAGTGGCATTAGGGGGAAATGCTCAAACTACCAACAGAGGATCATCCCTCAAAGGTTTTGTGAAAGAAGGAGAAAGGTAAATCCTTTGCAACAATGTTTCCCAAACTATTTCATGGCCACTGTGGTTGGGAATCACTGAGTAACAAGTTGTTTTTCCACATTTTCTATCTGGAAATGGTTACACTCTTCTGTTAGGTCCTTCTGTATCTTTTTGCTCTGATAACTGTGAAAGTGGTAAACCATTACTTCACTTCAATATTATGAACATGCATTTCTGTTTTCTCAGCTCAGCTGATGTATCCATCACCCTGCGTAACAGAGGCAGAGATCCTTACAAACCCGAGGTCTATGGTCAGTCCATCACTGTTGACCTCAGAATAACGCGTGAGGGGTTGAGAACATATAAACTGAGGAGCAAGTCAGGTAACATTTCTATAAGATTTCAACCTAAATATTTGAAAGAGCATTTGGTTGATACATCTGTGTGAAAAGAGTTAAAACACTGTAAAAGATTGAAAATTTCTCATGAATTGAGAAATCAAACATTGTTCAACCCTTTAGGTCAGATTATCTCATCAAAAAAGGAAGAACTGATGTGCATCCTGGACAACTTTAACATTCAGGTATTTAAGTGCCCTGTATTCCATGAACACTTTTGCTTTGTTGTATTAGTGCAGACAAATCATTCTTTCTTTTTTTTATAAAAGGTTGACAATCCTGTATCAGTTCTTACTCAAGAGATGAGTAAATACTTCCTTCACTCCAAAGGGGAAGGAGACAAATATAAGGTTTGTGTCTGAGACTTGTAAAGTAAAGGAAAATGTTTTGTCCTCTTCATTTTTGACTTTGTCTTGCTCAATTTGTCATCTTTAGTTTTCGTTTTTTTTTTCTTTTTCTGCTCTTTAGTTTTTTATGAAGGCTACACAGCTGGATCAGATGAGAGAAGACTTTATCTACATCAAAACCACAAAGAATGTCACACAGGATAAAGTTGTGCAACATAGCGAAGTGATTATTCTTTCTTCTTTTTTTGCAAATTTAAATATTTTACCCTAGCGAAGTGATTATTCTTTCTTCTTTTAAATATTTTACCTACAACTTAACTTACTTAAAGAATGTCATTTTAAACGACCAATTCTGTGATGTGTGTTTTTTTCAGCACTTGAAAGACATTAGGCAGATGTTTCGTGAGAAAGAGGAACGTTATAAGAGCCTGGCATCACTGGATGAAATGTTCACCAAACTGGAGGAACTGCAGAAACAGATGGCCTGGGCTTTGGTGAAAAGCTTTTGCTTTTTATCAGCTGGGATTTTTATTTCCGTGACATTGACTAGGTCATTTATACTGTTGCTGACTGTTGATGGTCATGTGTTCAAATTCCAGGTGACAGAGATGGAGAAGGAACTGGAGCCAATGAAGGAGAAGCTGCAGTCAGACACAAGGTTGACAGACAAATATGACGAGAAGGTTGAGGAGTGGAAGGTATTACAAAAAAAGTTTAGGCAGAATGATTTTTCTTTCTATTTAATACACATCTCCAGTCAACCTCCTTCTTTACTCCTTTTTGCTTGTGACCCTGCAGCACAAAATTGAAGAAGCAGAGAACAAGTACAAGCAAATCCAGGAGCGGTTGGAGGCCATCACCCAGCAGGTGCAGGAGCTTCAGGCCCCATGTGCTGAGTTTAAGGCTGGGGCCCAGAGACACAACCATCAAGTCAAGTCCAGTGAGGTCAGGTGCTAGTAGTTTGTCTAAAAATAGTGATTCTCAAGGTCCACACACCACTGGTAGTACTTTTTTTCTAGATTTGAAGCCGGTGTGAAATGTTGAAAACATTTTGCTATACATACATATATATTCCCTTATTTTTTTCTTAAATTAAATGTATCAAATACAAAACAACACTTTTACAGTGGGTCTAGTGTGACACATATACATAATCCCTCTCCTATCGCGGCAGTTGTGTTCCAAGACACTCGTGGCAAGTAGAGGCAAGATAGTTTTATTTACCCTCTATGAACCTCCCCCGCACTGTTATCAACCCTCCCTAGACTGTACCCTTTACCACACAATTATATGCACAGCAGAGTTGAGGAGAGATGCTACGATGCATGAGCCAATCAGTGTGAGGAACAGAAGAGCATGCTCAATTAGCCAAGCAAGCATGCATTGTATTAGCCAATAGTATGCTCCGAACGTCTAGGTAAACAAAGCTACCAGCAATTGTTCACAAATGCTTATCCCAATTTCAAAACGAGAATCCACATTTTTATAGCCAAAACTTTTGTATGTATAATTTTTTTTTAAAATCTACTATGTACTGAGGGAGTGAAAGGAAAACCACGATATAGAGATGGAATGCTGTATGGTTGAATGTATGTGTGGTAGGTGGAATTTAATGCTGAACCTGGTCAAACTTGTTATTCCTCATTTGTGTGTGAACTTCTAGTTCACTGTCCACCTATGTAGGGCCACCCTGAGGGACCTGGAAAAGGACAAGGCTCAGCTGTCGTCAAGAATAAATGATCTGAAGCTGAGGTCTGACTTATCTTGTTTTCTGAGTCTGAGTGCATGCAACCATCTGGTCGTATGTTTTCATCCTGACCCAACAATCTTCTAATTTATGACATTATTTCAGCATAAGTCAGACAAGTGGAGCAGAGAGTCAAGCCAGAACAGAGCATATGGAGCAGATCAAAGCTGAGCTGGAGAACTTGACACACCAGATCTCCACTCTGGGCCAGCAAACTGACCAGTATCAGCACGCCTGCGTCAGATTAAAGGAAAAGAAAGAAAAAATAAGGTGAAGTGTGCTGGAAATGTTTAATGAATCAAAGCTCATGACCTTAGTGTGTCTTTGAATGGTTTTAAACCTTACAAATACACAGCCGACGATACAGAGTCCAGCACTCTGTAGAGAAGCCCAAAGAAAAAGTGTTCAACACATTCACATTTCCATATGTGCTAACAACAGAGCTGTGGTCCAGTCCACTAAGAAAGACCTGAACCATTTGACTGTAGAACACTGAGCCTAACAAGTAAGGGAGTGATTAATGAACAGCTATGAATCACACACAGGCCTCGACTGTTTTGAGCAGAGAAGAGAAAAACACAATCATTCAAAGATGGGTTGATAAAATGAAGCAAAGTGAAGATTTGAATAAATGTATTTTTTTCTATTATTATTTACTTTTTTTTTTTTTTTTTTACCATTTTTACTATCAATATTGGTCTAGTACAGGAGCCTGTGTCTCGGCTGCCTGTATGATTTAACTATTTATGATATAACTTTATTCAATGAAAAAGGTTCTTCTGGTGTTAAGGGTTTGTGTAAATCCCTCCCAGAGACATTTTTAACATGCATTTACTAATATTTGCTATCGTTGGTCTGTTCTCAGGGCAGAGCAGATGATTCTTCAGAGATCCATTGATACCAATGAAAAGAACAAGAAAATTCTGATGAGCAGTCGTTCCAATCGCCTGCGTCGTTTTGGAGAACACATGCCTGCGCTTCTGGCTGCGATCGAGGAGGGCTGTAAAAGGGGCCGCTTCAAGCATAAGCCCAGAGGACCTTTAGGTCTTCAAACCTTTTCTCACTGTTATCACTGCCTTTTACTGTAGCTCTGCTAAATCACATTAGCTCCTGTCATAGTAATATTAGTTATGGCTACTCATTTTAAACACATATTTACTTTTACGCTGCTCCTCCTTGTCGCCACCTTCAGGTCACCTCATTAGTCTGAAGGATCCAGAACTGGCACTGTCGGTAGAAGTTTGTCTTAAGAACCTGCTGCTGGCCTTTGTCTGCGACAACCATGATGATGAGAAGGTTCTGCAGGGCCTCATGACCACAGTGCTCCAAAAAGGCCGCAGACCTGTCATCATTACCAGCAAGTTCCTACCACGAGTCCATGACACCAGGAGGAAGTAAGACCCAGAAGAAATACTCGTGAAATTTCACCTTTGACCTGACTGAAAGTTTTTTAACCTTGATTGATCTTGAGTTGTTTCTTGATGTTCTCTGTGGCAGAGCTGTGAATGACCCTAAATACCCTTCCGTGCTCCAAGCTCTAGACATTGAGGATCCAGTTGTGGCAAACTGTCTGATAGACCAGCGGGGCATAGAAAGTATTCTGCTTATTAAGGTGAATAAAAAGTTTAAATTACTTTTAGTTTAAATCAGTCGGTCGGTTGACTAATCATGGTTAACCGTGATACAGCCACTGTGTGATTAATCCGAATAAAAATTGTATTAATTTGAAAGCAAAAATATCTTTAAATGTATATTTTAATAGCCCAGTCAAATCATCAACTCATCTTTTTCATGAAGTATTTGATTCTGTGTAGAATCGTACAGAGGCTCGGCGGGTGATGCAGGGTGGAAGCCCACCTCAGAACTGCACACAGGCCTTCTCTCAGGAAGGAGACCAGATTTTCACCAACCGCACCTATTCTGCTGAACAGACCAGAGCTAACTACCTGTCTGGCGATGTCGAGGAAGAAATCAGGTGTGTGTTCTGAGGGATATATCAATGTTTATTTATTCATATTTTTGAATAGCTCCTCTAAACCAATTGCATCTTCTGTCTTACTTCCCACCTGTTGTCTCAGACATTTGCAGAGGGACATTGAGAACCAGAGGGCTCAGAAAACACAATTCATGCAACAGACAGAAAAATTAGATGAAGAGCTCAGACAGAATGAAGGGCTGCTAAAAAGAGTGTGCATGGAGCAGAAGGCTACCAAAGTAATTTGTTTTACAATTCTTTTGGGAAATCCAAGTGTTCAAACAATTTTGTAATTGTATTTGTGCCATGTCTTAGGATAAAGCTACAAAGCTACAGCTGGAGTTGACAGACCTGCAGAATGTGGAGGAGCCTCAGTCGGAGGACCTCAACCCTCTGGTTCGTACAAAACATCGGTGCAGTTTCTACATCCGTGGATGTCACTTTGACTCTTCATGCTTTCATGTCAACACAGGAGGAGGACCTTCAGGAGATCGTCACTAAGATCTCCTCCAAGCAAGAAGAGTATGAGCAGGCACGCGCTCACTTGAGCAACATGAAGGCTTCGTACGAAGAAGCAGAGCAGAAGTACAAGCAGCTGAAAGAGCAGATCAACACCATCAGAGAAGAAGCTGATCCAATCAAGGTACTGTGTATGAGTTGATGGAAGACTCGGAAGCTGTCTAGACCTCGTTCAGTAATTGGCAATTAGAGGCAAATCGTGTGAGGTTCTAGTTAAAGAATAGTGTGTTAGGTGTTGTGTTGGTGAGCTTTTCCCACGCACTTGTTTTGTTTACACAGGACGAGCTGAGTAAGACTGACCAGGAGGTGATGAAGAGCAAGCATCACAGAAAACACTACGAAGAAAAACGTCAGGCACATCTTCTCAACATTCAGTCACTTGAAGCCAATGTGGAGAGCATGACCAGAAAACTGGAAGTAAGCAACACTGGAGAACAGTAACTTCCAAATGACAAGGCAGTAAGCAACACTGGAGAACAGTAACTTTCAAATGACAAGGCCTTCAGCAAGGTCACAACCATAAAACAAATCATTCATTGTCATTGTGCTGTGGATTCATAATATGATAATAATATAGTCGTAGTGTGTCTGAACAGGATGATTTAATTCACTCTGTTTTTCAGGCCTCATTATCCAAGGCCACGGAGATCTGTCCAGAACGTCAGGAAATCCGTCGAACAGCCAAAAGCCTGGACACTGAGATCAGCCGTCTCAAGGTTAAGATCAGTACCCAGCAGGAACAACAGGGGGACCGTGAGGAAATCGTAAGGTGAGTTGACTTTGACCACTCAAAAGCACCGCACATCAAACATCAAACAACTTCCAGTTTTGTAATGATCAACTGTAATGAAACAACTGTAGTCACCTCAAGTCTTATTTGTCTTGTAAGAAGTTTACTTCACCAATGATTGTACCATGAGGGTACAAAACATTAATAATGGCACAAACGTGTGCACTAATCTTCTCGTTCCATCCAGACAGTACAGTGAGGCTCTGAAGAACTACAAGAACGTCACACAACAGGTGAAGAGCCTCAACACCTTCATCAAGTGCCTGGACAACATTATGAACCGCCGACTCTATGTATATGCTGAGCTCAGGAGGCAAGTTTTCAAAAACTGGAGGACAAAAAATACTCTTGATGTGTCTTGTGATTTTCCTGTCTCTTCAACACTTTTTCCTGCATCTGTTACTAGATTTCTCTCAGCTCGTTGTAAATACTACTTTGACAACATGTTGAATCAGAGAGGCTACACTGGGAGTATGACATTTGACCACAAGAATGAAACCCTTTCCATCACTGTGAGAAAATAATAATATGTTTATATAGGTGTATATGTATGCAAGTGTATGTATACGTTTGTATATATTTTTTGTATGCTCCACTGGGCAGGTGCATCCAGGCCAGGGGAACAAATCTGACTCGGGTGATATGCGTTCTCTGTCTGGAGGCGAGCGTTCCTTTTCCACCGTCTGCTTCGTGCTGTCTCTATGGGCCATCACGGAGGCGCCTTTCCGCTGTCTTGATGAGTTTGACGTCTACATGGTAAAGATTTTCTTCAATTTGGTAAAGATTTGTATCGATGAAAAGATATCTTTTCGCGTATCTCTTACATATTTTCCCGTCTTGTATCCGTGTGTCATTAGGACATGGTGAAGAGGAGGATATCAATGGACATGATGCTGAAGGTGGCTGCTGGGCAGCTCTCCAGACAGTTTATATTCCTGACTCCACAGAGCATGGGGTAACCACTTCCTGTTTTTGTTTGAATATTAAAACAGTGTGATCCCAACCAAATTATTGTTGTACTGTTTGTTTACATGTCCTATGAACTATGACAAAACCAACTCATTTACACAGAAAATATTATTATTGTATCAACCACTGCTGTACATGTTTTCCTGGTGAAGGCTTTAAGCCCCTGAACTTAAAACCTACATGTTCTAACTGTGGTATCATCTCATTTTCTCCCTTTCTTTCCTCAGCACACTTCCTGTGAGCAAAATCATCCGTATTCTGCGATTAAAAGATCCAGACCGCAGCCAGAACAACACACCAGCAAATCAAGACAGCGGCTAATAGCATTGTTGGCTCACTTGTTTAAATCTTAATGCTGAATAAGTGCAGCCACATGTTCTCGATCACCCAGGTGGGCTTCAGTTGCCTCTTTGATTGTCTTTTTCCTGTCATTAATATCTTGAATAAATCTTTTATATTAAACTATAAATGTGTTTTGTGTTGGACTTGGAATGTTCAATAACATATTTAGATAAAAACATTTTTGAGGTCAGTCATGTGAGGAGGGATTTGGTCCTTTAAGAGCAAATCTCCTGCACAGCCAGCGTCCAATGGAGAGCATTTCCACTCGAGCGCATAATATCTGTTGACAATGCCCCTGACCTCCTCCTCCCCTGGAACTTACTGCATGGAGCGTGAGGCTTGCTACGAGGACACGATATGAACTCTAAGTCTCTTCAATCAAGATTGTTTAACAGAACTGCAGCAGCAGGATCTGTTGAGACACACAGGTATCAGCGACATGAAGACTGTGTGGACAGTTCTGATGGTGACAGCCAGACAGCAGCGGAGGGCAGCAGCAGACAGGAGGATAAATACCAAAGAGACATACACTTTGTCTTTCTGCCTGGGAAGTATGAGCCACTAGTGGACGAGGAGGCAAAAGAAGAGAAGAAGAAGAGAAAAAAACTAAAGTACAAAAAAGTGAAAAAGGTTTGTTTAACCATTACAGATGTACCAACGTGGATTCTGTTTACTAACCTAACCCCACAGTGTGTCAGTTACAGATAATGTGCCTAAATAGAGTCTGTCTATTTACCTATGATTTTATTTATTTTCTGCTTTAATTAGTATTTGAACTGGGTCACATAGGAACAGCTACTCCATACCACTCTGAGGAAGTGGGACTGTTCCTGTGTTGTTTTCCTGCACTGACTTCCTCTGTCTGTTCTCATTGCTCAGCCTTTTCCTGCAGGAGACAATACTGTTTATAAGACTTGGTATTTTTACTTCAGAGTTGGTTACACCTTTTCTGCTGACGTTGTTCCTACTTAGTTACATAAACAGGTATAATTTGCTCTTTTTTCCTTTGGATTGTGGACTAATTAACTAAGACGTGTTGCAAATAAGGTTATATATGTGCTATGTTTTCCAAATGAGTGACTATGTAAACCCTGTTTTCTAAGACTTTGTAAAAACCACTTTGCTCTACACCAACAGTAATAAGTGTAGGTACTTGTGGATATTCTCAGTCATCCAGGTCATCATAATAATCTCAAAAGCAGCCTCTTGCATGAGAGGAGAAATGTCTTCAATTTACATGAGGGGAGTCCAGCTGCCTACTTTTAAAACTGCTTTTGAGATTAATAACTGTAGGCTGCTTCATTTATGCTTTCAGAATGTAAGAAAGGCACTACGATCAACTTGGAAGTGTCTAAAACTGGGGCTCTACAACTTTGCTCTCGGTTACTCCACACCAATCACTGTCGCTGCTACTTTTGTCCCTGACTTTCACCGAGGGAGAACTGGGACCTGAGCTGAAGCACATGAGTCCACTGGTGTGTACAAGCACCACAAGAACATAACCAAGAACTTCTGATGGCAGCGATTGAGTTTCTGTATTTCAAACTACCTGTATGCAAATTATAATGTAATATTACTGGATTCATTTTTATACATGTATATAGACTATTTGTAAATATTAAAACACAGAGTAATTATGTCAACAACCTTCATCTGTTTTATAAAACATTTATGTGTGAGATTTTAACAATATTTTGTTTATTTGCTTTTTGTTTGATAGATGTAGAGATGTGTCCTGCTGTACAGAAAAAAAAAGCTTCTGCACGATTTCTTTGGGGTAAATGTTAAGATGGCAAATGCATGTTTGTCAAGAGTACAGTCAAGAGTGTTGATGGTCTTTTTGATTCTCTAAACATTTTTAACTTGACTTCAGCAAGACATGATCAAAAAAGGCTGAAGTATTGTGGATATGCTCAAGTCATGGAAAATATTGTGAATGTGAAAAAACAATGAGAAGAAGTAGATGATAAACCCCGTGGAGCACGATTTAGATGATGTATTCATGTATCAGAAAATAAAGATTAGTAATTTTTTTCAAATAAATGTATGATTAAATTACAAAACTCTTGAGCTGTATCTCAAATTCAATAAAACATTTTTTTCCAAATCACACAGCATTTTTACATTTATTTTGTATTGAAATGTAACAACACTACTGTTAACGTCTACACATGTAGATTTAAATAATCAACAGATTTATAAATGTGTAAAATACCACTTTATACGAGTTAGCAGATAGGAATGCGTTTTAAAATATTTAAATATATATTTTATTACATATTTATATTTAAAATATATTTACGTGTGCCCTTATAAGCAATAAAAACAAACACCATGACGTGTTTAGACAGCGACGCATATTACCAAAGTGAGTTTTACATTGGTAACAAAACATTGGCTTCAGAACTTTCTTGCTCAGAGATTCCGGTGTCCCGTCATCAAACTGACTTCATTGAGGAGCAGCAGAGCTACTTCCGCATAGTTGTGTTTACATTCGCGTTTATTAAGTGGGTGAACTACGGTGCTTTTTTTAAAAAAATGAAGGACGCCAAAGCACAAAATATTACCTCCATTCCTATTGACGGCTTTAGTAATCTACGTATTACATCCATATGGACCTTTCTTCAGTCGGTAAGTTAGATGTTTGATTCTAAATGTGCGATGTTTGTGCACCATAAGCGTTAGCTCTCTGAGCTAGCAGGTAGAACCTGACTGATCGCAGAACACACAGACATGTAATCGTTTTATTAAATTTTAATGAACTGGAGTTTTCTTAATTTTTGGTCATTTTTTTATAGGTTCAGTGGTCAGAAACTTGGCTTATTGGACTGCTGGTGTTCCATGTTGTATGTCTTTGTATGACAGTGGTGACGTGCAGGTATTACAGAGCTCAGATCTGCCATTTTCTTGTTATGGGTACGTAAAAATAAATGTAATAAAACACACTTCTTTCCGTTACTATGCTTAAAACACATGTGGGCGTTGTAATATTTAGCAAAAACTCTCCTGCCTCCACAGTTGGCCTGGTGTTCAGTGCTGAATATCTCAATGAGCTTGCAGCCAAGAACTGGAGGTAAGTTTATTGTAGGTGTGATCTGTCTGTTCTTTTTTAATTTAACACAAGAGAGAATTAGTAATGATCATCATTAATCTATTTTCATATTTATTCCGAAACAGGGCCTTTTCAAACTTCCAGTACTTTGATTCCAAGGGGATGTTCATATCTTTGGTTTATTCCATTCCTCTCCTGCCGAATGCAGTCGTCATTGTGGTACATCTTACTTACAAATATCCAGAATGTGAGTTTTCTTTCAGCTACTCCATGCTTAACGCCTGCTTGTGTTGTCTTGTGTGTGTTTACTACAGATGGTGTGGGTGTACAGAACCATTTCAACTATGACTGAACTGAAGACCCTGCAGCTGAAGCGCAAGGCTCGCAGAGAGAAAAGAGAAAAATCTGAATGAGCGCCCTCTGTCCTTACGTCTGTAAGCAGGCGTCACTGAGAGAAGCCAACAGTCTCTGTTTGGAGATGACAGACATTTGCATGACTGTAGACAGGATTGTTCCCTGATGACTGGACTGAATGCCTGTTTTTTGTAGCGATTGTCTGATGGATGATGCAACTGAAAATGTTGCATACAAGAAGATTGGGAAGGACCAATGGGATTTTTCTGTTTTGTACTTGATGATTTTTTTTTACATGTGGCGAAGGGATAAAAACATTCTTATGATTAAATTCATGCCGTGGAAGTTTTGAACACTTTGACGATGTCAGTAGAGGACATAATTTTTATGAGCTGAGGAGATGAGGGAAAATAAGATCACCCTTGGTTTAAAACCTGTTTTCATTCTATACCTGTATTAAACATTATGGGGCTCCAAGGAGTACAAGGGTAAAGTAAGTGAGCGAATGCAGCTGCATTATCTCTGGGTTAAAGACTTAACCCTAGATTTCACAAAATACATTTTACTGTTAATTAAACAAACACATTTATCAAATAATTATAAGTTACTGTCAACTCACCAACAAAGAAAGTGAAAAAATAAAAAAGCCTAGATGGCTTACAACATATTTAAGTTTATAGATCTGATGCAAGGATTTTAAGGTTTTAGTAGCCTCAATGAAAGCCAAGTCAGGGAACACAACATATAACACAATCAGTTTTAAAACTACTAAAATATTATATAATGTATAGTCATAAATAAATAGTATTAATGTTTGATAAATTTCCTTCAAGCTCTGTTTTGCATAACCCCTTGTCTGACACTAGAGGGCAGTGTGGGTCAAATTACTTTATTACAGCGGTTTTATTAACTCATCAAATTGTTGTCATTACCTTTCCTTGTAATTTAATGTTTAATTCTTACTTTAGCATTGTGAATAAACAAGTGCGTGTGTTTTGTTTTAAAAACACAAACAACAACCTAATTATACTATCATTTCTATTTTACTTTCACGTTTTCACAGTAGTTGTGATCAGATTCAGGGTGAGTCTACATTTTACCTGCATTCATCTGTTGGGAGTCACTGGTTGTTAACATGAGGAAGTGGTTTGCTGTTATGACTGGACGTCAGCCAACAAAGCAGAGAGAGATGGAAATGGTTGTATGATCAGATTAGGCATAAACGCTTGTTAAAGCCTTCTCTTTGACAGAGGAACTCATCATCTCTGAAGGTCAGGGACATTAAACGCTGCACTCTGAACTGTCTGTAGTGAATAGCAACACACATGTGCACATCTGTCTGTAGTGAATAGCAACACACATGCACACATGTGCACATCTGGAAAAACTGGATGCAAGGAGTGCCACATTACAAAGCATGATTCATGACTATAACAAAAAAAATGTCAGGTGCTGCTTTACTTCGCTTCAAATTTGATTTAAATTGAAACGCTGTTCTCCATATGAATCTTGTAGTTTCACTGGTGTTAAAGTAGATTTCCCTGCTTGAGTCATTAATGTATCAAATCAAATGCCTTATTAGATAGTTTTGGTGTTACCTAGAATAAGTCAAATAGGAAAAAATAGAGACTAATGTCAGGAGTGTGATCGATCAGCGGTGGAATTGGATAATGTTTTGCAGCAGAACGGTCGACAGCAGGCTAGAAAATACACATGAACATGATACACCAACATATACCATATATACTACACCGTATATAAACACTCTGATGCCTGTGGGTGGTGCTATAAATGGTAACAATAATAGTTTTAGATTGCCCCTGCAAAAAATTGTAAACAACTCTAATGAAGCAAAAAATCTAACCTCAAAAGAAAAACTACAAGAAAAAAAATACACAGGTTTTATCCATTGCATCTAAATAAAGCTTGAGGAGACACGTCAAGTAAAAACCTAACTTCATGGATTTACTATCTCTATGACTGCTATATGAAGGACACAGCTCCTCTGTTTTGTAGTGCTGTACACCTGCACCAATGGTTGCCTAAACATTTAAATGATGCCCAAAATGTAAATGACCAATTTGGAAACTCCACACTCCCACATCGAATTACCAAATATTATATGAATCCACTATTTTACATTGATTTTTGAAGTGTTAGGTTTTTTGAAGAGAAAAATTGCCATTTCTAATTAAATTCAAAATGCCTGTTCAATTCTTTCCAGCCAAATATTCCAGTGATGGACGTTTGCTCAACACTTGGGTCATTTCAAAACCACTGTTGTTAGATCGCAGTGTTCCATCCAACAGATGTTGGAAGCGATTCATTCTACTGGTTCACATGAACAGCGTGTCTGGTTTTTCGTCTTTTTTGATCGCAGCGCACTTTGAAGCGAACTGCCAGTTCATGTATCTTGCGTATTTAAGAATGAGATTAAGCAGATGTCGAGGAAGGCCCCAAATGGTGGCAGTGAGTTTTCATCTCAAGCGAAAAGAACAAGAGCTGGGGTGATGACATGAAATCCCAGAGTATCGTGATGTTGTCTATGAGTAAGTAAAAAGTTTATGTTGGCTAACACTGACTCTCAACATCTGTGCTTGTACAATATACTGTTAATGTGGTTTGGCCTCAACTCTGGGGTTCTAAGTATTTGTCCACAAATTCTTTTAACAACTTTTCATTTTGGAAACTATCAACTGTCTAAAGAAGGGCACTGGGCGACAGACTGGTATAAGAAACAAGTGTTCATTGGTATAATTCACACTTTGAATTTTTTTTTTTGTTTTTTATTCTTGATGTTGCCCTATTTTGAAAAAGGAGAAAATACAAAAGAAACAAGAAACAAAATTAAAAGACAAAAAGAAAATACACTAAGCATGAACATCCTTAAAAACAAGACTAATATAAAAGCTGAAATCTGGCCGTTTTCTACTTGGTAAATGTGGTTGGGTATTATTTACATCTTATCTGTAGATTGCACTGAACGTTAGTATTTTTGATAAATCCAGCTGGACGTGTAATCCCTCAAACGTAACACTGTAACAGAGAGAAGAACCAGAGCTGGATGTCTGGGATACCGTTCTCACATTATAGGCCAATTTCCACATCAGCTGTCTCCCACCTGTGCAACATAATGAGTGGTGGTTGTGGTCTTAATCTGAAGAGTCTGTCAAACTCTTCCAGTCTCTTTTAATAAAACTCCTGACATTTTTCTTTTTGGGTTTTTCCCATAAATATATCTGAATTCTAGAAGCATCACGGAACGCTGCGAGCATGAGACGGGATGGGAGAACGGAGAGAACAAATTCCACCATCACTAACTTGTCTCTGCAGGATTTTAAAATCCAGAATTTATTTTAAAACTCTCATATGTAAAGTATTTCATCACACAAAGCCTCACTTGTTAGAGAGACAGAGTCTTCTTTTATCAGGACTGGTGGACGTCTGCTCTCAGACTTTCTCCCCTGTCCTGACTTTTCTTTGTGACTTTATTTTTTTTCCTTCCTCCTCCTCACAGTTTCTCTCCCCATCATTTGTTCCTGTCTTATCATACAGCAGAACAGAGGCAGAGGGCAGCCGGTCTGAACCTCACAAACTCAAGATAAAAACAGTATATATTATAATGTGGCGTTACACAATTAACACTGATTTAATTTCATGTTAAAAGAAAAGATATACCATTAGACAGGCTGTGTTTTCCTGTGAGTTTCTGTGGGTCAACCCCATTGGTCCAACTGTAAATAACTCCTACTAATGGTCACAAAATGTCAGATGAATATTTATGGTGCACAGATGATGTATTTATACCTTTTGCATTCCATTACTCCTTATATATTTCCCCTGGAGACATGACATGACATGCTGAATATTGACATAGCTAAACCCCCTTGATGTATTTTTAAAAGATCTTTTTCCCATACGAAATTCTTTATCTCCGTTTGATTAAATGGGTTTATGTAGGCAATAATTTATTTGAGAAACTTGGGAAAATCTAAGATGACGTCACAGGTTAAGTTAGGCCGTCTCACAATGACAAATAAAATAATTAAAAAATCTGTAAATAAAAACGAATCACTTTAGCCAACAGATGTAGACAATTGTGTTCATGCTCAGTTATTTTTATTTCTTATGATTTCTCTTGAGATGAGTCTGGTTGAGAATGTTTAACAGCAAATCAAGTCTGATAAAGCAAAGCTCCCCATAAAACAACAAAGAAAAAATGCACAAGTGGACGGTGGAGCAGCCTGTGGTGTCGCAGTCTTTCACTTGGTTGAATCACAGTGGGACCAAGCCCTGATGCTCTGTAATGTAATAAGGAGTGAGGGAGGAGTGGGGAGGGGGCAGAGGGAGGTGACTCACCCGGTGTGTGCTCTGAATGAGTCACTGTGATACATATGATTGGAAAGAAATTTCCTTTCCTGCGAATAGTTGCGGTACAGATCCTTCCAACCACCTGAAGGATATTTAATCAGATTATTTCAACATTATTTCTGCTGCTTCTCTGTCACATACACACACACGCAAACACAGTGTGTTTCCACACAACATTTGGCATAGGTTAAATCAGTGAGTCACTCTGACTCCATCAATTTACAGACCAAGGCTTCAGTTACTGCGGAAAGTAAGAAACAAGAGTCGCGGATGTGAAGACATAGCTGAAAAAGAAAATTTGAATTTAAAATTATATAGATATTCACCTAAATATGTATGTGCATAACCACAGCCTGATCCGACCTATTGAACCACTTTGACAGCACACGTGTACCCTTACTTTGAATTTCCTTTATGTCCAGAGCTTATTTCTTTAAGGAACAACAAGTTTGATATTTCTGGTTTGCCATTTTGAACTGACTTTGGTCTATTTATGATACGAACCAGGGGCTTTCACATGGCATGACGGCATTACACCTATTGTCAATCAACGCTAATGAGTTCAAACTGTGTAATCTTCAAAATGTGTTTTCACTCGGTGGCTTCAGACTGTGGCACCAGGAGGAAGTGACTGAGGTGTTTTTGAATTTATATGTATATAAATATTCCAAATTTAGATGCTAAGATTCTCTTTAGGAGTGACAAGAATGGACAGGGTCAGGAATGAGGTCATTAGAGGGACAACACAGACAGGAAGGTTTGGAGAAAAAGCTAGAGAAGCCAGATTGAGATGGTTTGGACATGTGCAGAGGAGGGACAGTGGATACATTGGTAGAAGAATGTTAGAGATGGAGCTACCAGGTAGGAGAAAGAGAGGAAGGCCAAAGAGGAGATATATGGATGCAGTGAGGGAGGACATGCAGATAGTTGGAGTCAGAGTAGAAGATACAGAGAACAGGGAGAGATGGAAATCAATGATTTGCTGTGACAACCCCTGAAAAAGGACAAAGACGAAAGAAAAAGAAGAATAAATATTCCAAATTTTGTCCCATTAATTTAACAATGGCACACTGAGCCTCAGAACATTCACCGAGTCCTCACCAAAAGCCATACAATTAAAATGGAAAATTTAAATTTAGAATGGTTGTCATTGATCAGCTGAGTTGTTTCACCATTTTAGTAGGACATCATGGGCTAACAGGCCCATGTTTCTCAGTCTACCAATCCTACATAGGCTAGAATACTCTGTTTTCTGTTACCTGTAATTTAAAGACATTTGGGTGGAATTTTAAAAGTAGAATAATGACATAAAGCAGGAATAAGAAGCTAAGCTTAACACAGGGCTGTCACAAACAGGGGCTGCAGCGAGGCAAGTGAATTTGAATTCTATTACTTTCTTTGTTTGTACCGTAGTGGAACATTTGTATTGATTGTAATTTTATTTTGGTTGGTCAATTCAAAAACTGGAAATTATACAATAATACATGTTCTTCAGCGATGGAATGATTCTTTTTGTTTATTGTCGGTTGCTTTCAATGAATTTGAAACTATTATGACTTTTCTTCCACTGTAGTTATTTGCACATAAGTTGAACATGATCACACATTTTCGGTGTGGAGTCCTGTGATTATTATTTGATGATTTTGTT